TTCTGGCGGATGTACGGCCAGGACTGTCCGCTCGGACCGGAAGTTGTAATGTCTTGGTGCCGAATCGATTTCCAGTTAAAAATTTGTTAAACAGGAGTTAACTCTACCGTGTTTTATTTCTAAACGATTCCGGCGTCAACGTTGAACAAGGTCGGAAATTCATTAATAAAAATAGACCATGGAGGTCTTTGTACTACGCCCAGATTCTTAGCGCAAACTGGTTTCTGCTTCTCATCTTAATAGTTTTTTTTTAATATCTACAACACCCATTTTGTCTTTTAACAACGTATAATTTTTTTTAATCGCAAAATTCTCTTTTTAAGTTTTTAATGAAAACAAAACATTACAGATTTCACTCGTTTTCAATATTGTCACAGCCGCTGCGCAATTCCATTCGAATTAATTGAAATTGGTCAGCGATTTTCGAGTTAAGGCAAGCTTAAAGCTAGATTGAATGTGTTCTTTCCTTAATTTGAATACGGGTATGACAATAAGGATCGAAAGCTAGCTCTATTTCGATCTTCCTCTCGGCCTTGCGTACATCAAGTCTGGCTTCTTGGAATTCTCGGGTCAATTTTGCCGCACAAAGCTTTTGATTTGTGATTTGGCTGTGAAAAGGGGGTGAAACAAGGTCGGCGATTTCAAAGCGTCAAAGCTCGGGAAAAAACTAAAATAATACCATATACCAGGTCTAGAGGATATTTCACCGAGTGTCAAACTAAAACTATATTCATGTTGAATTTATCCTTCTCAACTTGTTGAGGAAGCAAATGAAAAGGAAATTGCTTAAAAATCCCACTGTAAAAAGAATCAAGTTTTTCACAAGTTTGAACGATGAAAAACTACTAACTGTGGTTCATCAAAATCCCTAAACTTGACTTTTAAATTCACTTAAAACAACGTTTATATAAGGAATAAAATTTATATAAGGGATAAAATAAACAATTACAAATCTTAACACAATTCTTTTAAGATGATTAATATTAATTATTGGGGGAGGAGAAAAAAATAAAAAACTTCGAGATTTTAGTTTTGATCGAAGCTTGGCTCCTCGTGAGATTTCCACAGGATCTTCTCTAAACATGTGGTTTGCCAAGTTCAAGCACACCCACTTAACGTTCAGGTTACTTTAGGGTAGATTGGCGGTTCAGAAGGAAAAACATTTTTTTAAGTGGGTATGTTTTTAGCAGTTCGATAATTTTTATTCAACATAGAATTTATCTTTAATCAATTTGAACTCAAAATTTTAAAGAGAAACCAGTTTCTTGAATTTTCTAAGCATTTCGACCAATTTCTGACTGGCAAGAAACTTCATTCTATAAATCCTTTATGTATTTTTTCATTTCAGTTTGTAGAAGATTTAAAGAAGTATGTAATTACCGACTCTTTTAATACTTTTTATTTCTTGTATTCTATCAAAAACTGTAAAATACTTATAGTATTCTGACTAATTTTTTGTGCAAAAATATTAAATAGATTGGGCCTTGATTACAGTTGATGGTTCAATTTCCTCGTGTTATCTCCCTGTAAAGTTATTTTGTGTGTGCGTACTAGCCTCTTGTTTTACTGTATTTGATTCTGAAGATTTCTGTCGTGACCCTGACCCTGGTACCATTCTTGCATACTTCCAGAGCAACTTCTCTATTTTTTACATTACATATATATCTTTCCCCTGGGGGAGGCTAGACAAATATTTTCCCAATTTGCTAAAATTGTATGAGTATTGGAAAATGCGGTGATTGTGTAGTTACGGCGCCTGATTCTTATTTGACCCAAGAGTGGATCTCGGTTCCCATCAACCCTTGGCTTTTTATGTGAGAATTATTTGGGATATTTCTTAAATGGCGATACCTCGTCGTACACCCCTGTTCTGCGAGTTAGTTTTGAATTGCGACAGCCAGCATAAGAAATGCAGTTTTCAGGCCATTACCACTGTTGGGTTTCAGCTGGATTCAGAAATTTCCGTGGTGTGATTATTTTTGCGTCATTGATTTCACATTACCTGGGAATGCACATGGATTGGGTTAGGTTAGTTAGGTTTGGGGTTGTGTTTATGGTTGGGATTAGGGTTAGGGTTAGCGATGGGACAGGCTTGTGTTAGGCTCTGAATGCCGAATATTTGACAATTGTTGAGATGTCTGGCTTAGCATTCACCAAATAGTGTGCCTATGTATACATACATGCGGGTGTATAACCACCCAGTTTATGCGAGAACCGTGAATATTTGTGCACTTTGAAGCGGACATGGAAACCGACAACTAGCCGAGCAAGCTGACTATTTTTGTTCGACAAATAACCAAGCAACCCCCCCATTTGGGGGGCGGTTAGGGATGGTTTGGTGAATTTGGATTTGGTGATACCAGAAATGATTGAGCCACCTTTAGCTTTAGCTGTCATCTTACCATTAAAAAAATGGATGTATACAAATTATGTAAATAATAGAAAAATTAATGTTATTTGTTGAAATTAAATTATAAATTCAATTCTTGTGCAGATGTAGTAGTACAATCGGATTTTTCTTGTTTATACTTTTATCCTTTTAACAAAGTTTATTTTTAAAGAATTTTTTTATTGTTGAGAACTTCTTTTCCACGATGGTTAGTCCCAATATAGAATCCCAATATAGTAGGCATATCTTTTGGCCTGAACATTTTTATTAGTAAAAATAATTGTTTTACTTTCTATCGTACAATCCACAAATTAACCATTCAACAAGATGTTAACATATAGATCGGTTTTTAAAAATTGTGATTAGGATATATGATTTTACCTAATTGGCTGTTTTTGGTCGGAAGCTGGTCGCTAACTGTGACCTGCAAGGGCCATATTGTTCTTATATATGTCTACAACTGGGAATTACCATAACACCATTTGACAATCTTTTTACAATATTGATGAACAGATTTTTAAGAGAGTAGCAGGACTTAAAAAAATCCCTGATGCAAGAGGTCAACTGCAATTCATCCGTTTCTATTACATAACTATGAGATTATCAATCATTTCTAGATCTAATTAAAAAGTGAAGAAAAAAATTTCATTACCACTTATGTGTCTGAAGGTTTAAATTATCATTGACTGCCTTTTGATATAAAGGATATAATTTATAAGGATTTAATTTAAAAAACCTTGTACAATATGACGCCACTTTAATTTAATTTTTATAATTGTGTTTAACTAACTTTTGGGCAGCTCCATAAATAATTTCCAACTTTTTAAGACTATTTCTAAAATTTAAATTGATTTATATTTTATATATCTGCAGCAACTTAATTTACAATAGCAGTCAGTTGAACTATGTCTATGATAATATAATATATTCAGCTTGATTACTGGTGTTTTACCATAAATCAACCAGGTCTATATACAAAAATAAAATAACAATAAATGGGGTACAGTTCCAATGTACTTATGTAACTAGTCTTGTTTTCTAGGGCCTTAAAAACATGATTCTGTATTTCATTGTCATACATATTTACGATTTTATCCATTCTCGACATGGAAAACATCTTAATTAAAAAAATAAATCTCATAATGCCATCGTAGCGATGAATTTTTACTAAAACAATTTGCATAAATCTTTTGAGTTCAGAATTTATAGTTTCTCACATGTAATTTGTATTAAATGGAAAGTAAATCAACTAAATAATAAACATGCAGTTTGTTCTAAAAGTGCATTTTGACTTTAGAAACTTTGCCTGTTTGGAGCATTTCTTTTGTAAAAGGAATTTTGTTGTTGCATTTTGCTTATTTCCACTTCAAACAATTTTATCTTAATCGGGGAATTTCTTTTTATCAAAACAGTAAAAAATCAGGTCAGAAAGAAACGCATTCTTGCATTGTTGATTTTGTGACATCATAGATTGTCTAAACAATTTTGAACAAATAAATAGTAAAGAATGTTTTTATAGATATTAATAATAGCCTCATTGTTTTTAAGTGTATATTATTTTATTTATTACTTCAATTTTATTATTATTTAGGTTTATTACTTAAATTACTTCATTGATCTTCATAATTTTTACTTTTTGATTTGTGTTCCTGTTCGTCATTCGTTGCTGCTCAAATTTGTTGTTCACTTATCCTAATTCTTGTTAATTATCCATGAATTATGAATCGAATGTGGCAACACTTCAAATGATTAACCCTTCGGTCTATTGCAGTGACGAATAGGTACTCGACCTGTGGGGAAGATGCTAAATATAGCAGACAGGTTGCTATGCCTATTCTTGTCCCCCTTATTCTTCATCCCATATTTCTTTTTTCTAGACAATTCTCCATTGTAAGACTTGAGGTTTTTCCACGGTCTGTATGACTTTGAGTTATTTACAATTTCTCGGCCAATAGAGTTGAAATGAACTCCGAATGAAAATTTGAAAGTTTGTTGATGAACATTTTATGGTATTAATACGATCCCTTCACTATTGAAAATATAATTTTGATCCTTTCTCATCAAAAAACCAAAAACCTACTTAAATAAACCCTTTGTGCCAAGGCCAAAAAATTTGCCATGTTATTCAGGGAGCATAATGAAATATTTAAATTGAAAATAACGTATTACAACAAATATTACAATACCTCTTCTGATTTGTAGAAATCATTTTTGTACTTTTTTAAGGACCATTCATTTTCGACTCTTCCCATATTTTATGAGATAAGTAGGATCTTAGATAAATAGAGTTTTTTACTTATTTGCTTTTTAACGTTCATATCCTAAACAGCCGAATTCAAATGATTTTGTGTTGAAACCTATAGATAAACTAGATATTAAAAGCAATGTGATGGCAACTAATGCATTTTCACACCCAGTAATGATCATAATTAGTAAAAATATCCGATCTAATCGTATTTTGTCCCATTGTTTTTACTGAGTATTGTGTAATGCATTTTGCTATGGCATTGATCCGTGCATGATTATACAAATCATTGTTGATCAAGTATGCATGTGTACCTACTTAGAATTTTTGATGTTGATGCAATTTTTTTCCCCATTTCTTTTTCAGAAGAGGTAGTGAAAAAATGTGACCCAGTGAAAGAAACTGTGAAAGACAATCCAGTGAATGGCCACTGTGAAAATGTTAACAGTTGTACTGGGAATTCAGAGGAGGGCGACAAGCCAGAAACAAAACTTGACAATAAGGTATTTCAATATATTAAAAATTTAAGCTTTTTTTTAATGTTCACTTTTTAATTAAGGAGGCGGAAGCCATGGTGGAGAAAGGTGAGATGGAAACGAGCGAAAAAGTAAATGGAGAAAAGAAAGAAGAAGCAGAGGTCGTTTTCATCCAAGATCTTGGCTTTACAGTACAAATTGTCAGCCCTGGTACTGAAGCTTTTGATATTCAGGTGCTCAAACAATTTTTTAAATATTTTCTTTGTCCAATCACAGTTATATTAAAATTTACTTAAAGGTTTCAAGCATGGAGCTCGTTCAAGAAATTCATCAACTTCTAATTGACAGAGAAGAAACCTGCCACAGGACGTGTTTCTCTCTCCAGCTTGACGGGAACACTCTCGACAACTTCGCTGAATTAAAGAACATTGAAGGTCTTGAAGAAGGTTCAGTTATCAAAGTGGGTTTCTCATTCTTTATATGCTGGTGTATTTTGAGAAGTAATAATTGAACGATTGATTTTCAGGTCGTGGAAGAGCCTTACACAATGAGGGAAGCAAGAATTCACGTACGCCATGTAAGAGACCTTCTTAAGTCCCTTGATTCAGCCGATTCTTACAATGGTCTTGAGTGTTCTTCACTCGCTTTTCTCAATGTCATCACCCAAGGTGATATTGTGGGTAGGCGCTCACTTGCCTTTATTTACGATATATTTAGTCTTATAAATTATGCTATAGATATTATATCTTCCTGATGAAAAGACACTGATTGGTGAATCATTTTACTAGAAAAGAAAAAATCCAGGGCTGAAAGTGTAGACTGCACACCGCCGGACTTTATCATGCCAAACAATAAAGAAAGGCCACCTTTACTACCTCTCCAACCGATGGCTAAAGAACAAAAAGGGCCTTCGTGCATCAAGGTTTGTTCATAAAAGGAATCTGGTGTAAATGAGTTGCATTAAATCTCTCGTACAATTTTGTAATCGGTTTAATAGGTTCTGACCACATCAGGGTGGAATCCACCTCCTGGCTACCGTAAAATGCATGGCGATCTTATGTATTTATACGTTGTCACAATGGAGGACAAACACTACCATATCACTGGCTGTACAAGGGGCTTTTTCCTCAATCAGTGTGTATTAAATAAACACTCGATTTAATTTTTTTCTTCAAATAATCAACGGTGAAATTAATAGGTCAAGCGAGGAAGAGTTCAACCCGAAACCAGCTGTACCTAGTCACTTGTGTCATTCCCTCATTGAACTTCTAAGCCAGCTCAGTACGTCTTTCAAAAGAAATTTTGCTCTCCTACAAAAGAAAAGGACGCACAGACACCCATTTGAAAGGGTAGCAACACCATATCAACTTTATGCTTGGACCGCACCTCAGATTGAGCATACAATCGATGCTATCAGAGCAGAAGACAGTGAGTAATATTATAATCCTTGATTAAAAAATTTAATATTAATAATTTTAAAAATAAAAAAAATAATTTAGTAATTATTTCTTCTGTCATTAGTGGTCTCAATTTTAGAGTACTGGTTGTAAGATTTTTTAAAATTTTATTTTTTAATTTTTTTAAAAATTTAAGCTTGTGTATTACAATATACAACCGAGTGACAAAATTATAGACACATTAAAAAATCATGATTTCAATAGTCAAAAATGATTTATTTTGCCATTAGAATATTGTTCATGATATTAAAAGAAAATTAACTCTGGAAATGGCTTGATCTGACAATCTTTATACAAATGTACATCTCAATAAACAGTATTGTTTTGATTTAGCTGCGACAGAATTGTAGACACACATTTTGTTTACATTTATTTTATAACTCCAAAGGTTTATTCAGTATTCACTGTACCGTGCCGTAGTAAAGTGATTACTATGAGTTCATTTGGAGCAATTCAAAGTTATTTTAAAATGCCCAAAGGAAGAAGATTTTCTGATGAGGAGCGCCGGTTGATTCACTTGCTCAATGAATATTGAATGAGTTGCTGAAATATCGCCTGACCCATAAAACGAAGTTTTTCTTCGGTATCGAAGATAATATGACTAGGTGAAGACTACAGAAGAGGGCATAGCTCTGGAAGATCTCCTTCCTTGACCAGAAGAGATAAATCACACAACCTGCGCGTTGCTTCAAACAGCTTTTCGACTGTAAAAGCCATCGCAGAGAAAACAGGTGTTGATGTTTCTGTTCGAATTGTTCAGAGATTCCTTAACAAAACTGCAAACATAGTCCGAAGAAAACTGAAACGCAAACCAGCTCTGAAACCCCACCACAAACTTGCCTGTGTCAAATTTGCTGAAAACCACATTTTGAAAAATGAAGATTATTGGCGAAAAGTTATTTTTTCTGATGAAAAAAAAAATTAATTTGGACAGCCCGGACGGATACGCATACTACTTTCATGATCTAACTAAAGAAGAAAAAATTTTGTCACGGCGCCAAAGGGGTGGTGGATCTTTGATGATTTGGGGGTGTATTGGGTGTAATAAAAAAGGGAATCTTTGTTTTCTTCCAAAAAAAGTCAATTCGAATATTACAAGAAATTACTGGACAAAGAAAAAACTAGTTTCAGCGATTTATGCGAAGGGATTCCAATATTCCAGCAGAACAACGCACCCATACACAATGCAAAAATTGTTAAAGAATGGTTTTCACAGAACAGCATTGAAAAACTTGAATGGCCTGCACTCTCACCAGACTTAAACATTATAGAAAATGTATGGGGAAAATTATCGAGGATGGTATATCAAGACTGTAAGCAGTACAACTCTGTCGACGAACTTAAAACAGCTGTCACCACTGCCTGGAATAATTTGCCTCAAGATTTTATTCAAAATTTGTACAAAACCATTCCAGAAAGATTACTGGAAATAATAAAACTGAGTGGTAATGCCACAAAATATTATAACATTGTTTTGAATTGATTTTATCCCATGTTGTAAAAAATCGTTTAATTTTAGTATTGTAATAATTTTTTCTCTTATTTACTGAACAATTAAAGTTTAATGAAGAAAAATATTTATTTCATGTGTTTTGAATAAATATTTGTAGTACAAACCCATTACATTAAAAAATCATAACAATTAGGGGTGTGTCTATAATTTTGTCACTCAGTTGTAGTAATATTATCACTTGTAAAAATTTAAATAAAAAATTGATCTTTTGTAATAAAATGTTTAGCTTTTTCATCTAAACTTGGTTATGAAGAGCATATCCCTGGTCAGACACGTGATTGGAATGAGGAACTGCAGACGACACGAGAGCTTTCAAGAAAAAATCTTCCAGAGAGGCTTCTGAGAGAAAGGGCTATATTTAAAGTGCACAGCGATTTTGTCGCCGCTGCGACTAGAGGTGCCGTAGCCGTCATCGATGGGAATGTCATGGCCATCAACCCCGGCGAAGATTCCAAAATGCAAATGTTCATATGGAACAATATATTCTTTTCTCTCGGATTTGATGTCAGGGACCATTACAAAGAGTTGGGAGGAGATGCTGCTGCTTTTGTCGCTCCAGTAATTATAACAGTTAATTTTCTGTAAAAGAACGTTAGTAAAGTTTGTTTCAATTTTAGCGAAACGATTTGCAAGGAGTGCGGGTGTACAGTGCTGTCGACTTGCCTGGCTTGTATACACTCGGTACTGTTGTAATTGACTACAGGGGCTATCGTGTCACCGCACAGTCTATCATACCCGGTATTCTGGAAAAGGAGCAAGAGCAATCGGTAATTTATGGTTCGATTGACTTTGGCAAGACAGTTCTCTCCCATCCAAAGTATATGGACCTGTTGAACAAAGCAGCGCAGCAGCTTAAAATGCTTCCCCACAAAGTGCTCAATGACAAAAATGAAGAAATCGAGTTATGCAGTAGCGTCGAATGTAAAGGGATCATCGGGAATGATGGCCGTCATTACATTCTGGACCTTTTAAGAACTTTTCCTCCTGACGTGAACTTTTTAAAGCGTAAGTTTATTGAAATTTTGAATAATCCTTAATATGCAGTTAACAGTAACTTCTGGCTAATTTTTAGTCGAAGGAGAAGAGTTAAGTAAAGAAGTACAATCCCTGGGCTTCCCAATTGAGCATAAACACAAATTGTGCTGTCTACGACAGGAACTTATCGATGCATTTTTTGAGTAAGCAATTTTGAAATTTATTGTCCTTATTTATAAATGTCTTTAAATGGCTATTAAAAATTATTGATTTCAGATCCCGTTACATGATGTTCATCAAATTAGCTGCTTATCATTTGCAGCAGCTAGGAGCGAAAAAACAAAAAGAAATTGACACTCAAAACTTGATTTCAAACCAAGAAATGAACACAAAAGAAAAGAAAAACGAACAAGTTAACAAGACTGAAACCGAAGTTGAAAAGATGACCGAAGAAGTGCCCATGGGGCATGCTCAGGCAAAGTTGATAGTCGAAAGTATTGCCGATTCGATTACTAATGGTGACAAAGCTGAATGTAAAATTTTTACATGTTTCAAAATTATATAAAGCAGTTCACTTTTTAAAAAATGTAATTGTTTTCAGTTGAAGAAAGCACAAAAGAAATTGTTAAAAAAGCTGCAGCTTCGGTCGGCTCGTTAAAGGAAACCGAGTTTGACATTAGGTTTAACCCAGATGTCTACTCACCTGGTGTCAGACACGTTGAGAACGTCAATGCGCCCGACAGCCTAAAAAAACAGAGACAGCTTGTTAAAGATGCTGCCGACTTTTTAGTTACAAATCAGATACCGAACCTCGTAAGATATCATTAAATAATTTCTTGTTTATTTATTTTTTTAAATTAAACGTTTTGTAGATTCGGGAACTTTTGGACCATTCTGCTGCCCCGATGGATGGTGTGACGCTCTCCGAGAGCCTACATTCTAGGGGTATAAATATCAGGTACTTAGGAAAAATCACAGCAATGCTTACAAAAGTGAAACAACTCGAGTACCTTCATGCCATTGCTGTTTCTGAGCTCATAACACGTTCTGCAAAACATATTTTTAATTCTTATATGCAGGTTGGTTATTTAACATTATTATCGTCAATTTTCATTGTTAATATTTTTTTCCCCTAGAATACGGAAATGATGAGTCTTTCAGCTGCTATTAGCCACTTTTTGAACTGCTTCCTGTCTTCCTGCTTGACTTTGCATCCCCAACAAGGCACTGATGAGGTAAAACTATAATCATAATTAAATCTCATACACGGTGTTGGCAAATGCTTTTTTTATTTTTTTTAAATTATAGATACAGACAAAACCTTCAAAGCGTAGAAAGCAGAATGGTAAAAGAAAAGGCAGACTGAATCTACTGATCGCTGATAGCAACGAATGGGCAAACATGACTCCAAAATCCCTATGGGCACAACTTAAGTCTGAGCTGAAAGCGTACTACGACTGGGAACTTAAAGTAGACAATATAGACTCAGTTGTTGAAACTTACGGCCTTCAAAAAATATCTCTCCTTAGGTAATTTTAGCCATTCTTAAAACAGAATAATAAATAGCAATTAAAGCATCTACGTCTATGACAAACGCCTGATGCCACCCACTCAGCCATTGCTGCCTTAAATTAAATTATAAACAATTTACATTATTTCTAGATTCTCTTTTATTATATTCTTTTATAGAGGTGGGGAAAAAGGGATAATAAATTTATATAAGCCTCAATTATAGAACAGTAAAGAAATAAAGTTTTTCTTTCTTTTATTATTTGTTTAGGTCTTTTTGTCTTAAAACTGGCATTCAGATTTTACTGAGGGAATATTACTTTGATGCTAAAAATAAATGCACATTTTTTGAAGAGGATATCATCAATATTTTCCCAGTAGTTAAACACATAAATCCTCGGGTAAGTTTTTTTTTTTTTTTTGTTTACTTCATATTCCAGTCTTTCAGTCCAGTGTGATTTTGAACTGTGTTTATTTTCCAGGCAAGCGATGCATATACATTTTACACAACTGGACAAAACAAGATCCAACAAGGCTTCCTCAAAGAGGGTTTCGAATTAATAAGCGAAGCTCTTAATCTGCTTAATAACGTTTACGGCGCAATGCACCCAGAAATAGCCCAGTGTTTGCGCATGCTGGCCAGGTTGAACTACATAATGGGTGACCATGCCGAGGCCATGGCGATCCAACAGAAGGCCGTCCTGATGTCAGAACGCGTCAACGGGATCGATCATCCTTACACCATCACTGAATATGTGAGTCTTCCATTTTAATCCTATGCTTATATTTATTGATATATTTTTATTTTACAGACTCATTTAGCACTGTACTGCTTTGCAAATAGTCAAGTGAGTACGGCCTTGAAACTATTATACAGAGCAAGATATCTTGCATTACTTGTCTGTGGAGAAAACCATCCAGACATGGCATTACTGGACGTAAGTTAAATAAGTTAAACTTGAAAAAATTTAAGATTTTAATTTAAATTTATTATTGTTTTAGAGTAATATAAGTTTAATACTTCATGCGGTTGGTGAGTACGAGTTATCACTTAGGTTCCTTGAGAAGGCCCTTGAGCTCAATGTAAAATATTTTGGGCCTAAATCTCTTAAAGTGGCAGTTAGTTATCACCTTGTTGCAAGGACTCAGAGCTGCATGGGTGACTTCCGTTCGGCCCTCAACAGCGAAAAAGAAACCTATGCAATTTATAAGCAACAGGTACAACTTCTGTTTAACTCATATTGGGCAGTGATAATTTTTTTTTTTTAATTAAATAGCTTGGGGAGGAACACGATAAGACAAAAGAGTCCTCAGAATGTCTGAGACATTTGACCCACCAAGCTGTGGTCTTGCAAAAGAAAATGAACGAGATTTATACCGGCAAGTCTGGCGTTGGCCTCCCCCCGATCCAGATCCAGCCACCATCAATGGGCAGTGTTCTTGACATGCTTAATGTCATCAATGGAATTCTTTTCGTTCAAATAAGGTATTTCTATTTTAAATGATAAATAGATTTGTAAGAATTTGACAATAGTGTTTTCAACAACACAGTTGTTATAACAAATTCATACAACTTGGAAATTTTTTTTTTTAAACTCAGGTTTTTTAAATACATTTATATGTATAAGTATGCATTTACTTAAGGGGATGACCAGGTTGGTATATCACGGATTTTGACCAAACTTTTTTTTGATGATTCTACACTCCAAAATTTCATCGAATATGTATATTCGCCACTTCTTGTGAATAGGCCCTGGTTTCGGCAAAATATAAAAATTACAAGTATAAAGTAAATTTAATTAAATAAGTATAAATTGTTACGTTAATTAACAAATTTTAATTTGGTATGATGTAAAAAGATTTTTTTTAATGGCTGTACATATTAGCAATGCCAGACAATATATTATGCGTATGCGTATTTGTATTTGGGGGAAGGGTAATGTGAAAAAAGGGCCAGAGGTGATGGTGGCAATCGAATTCACGACCGCAGGGTCTACAAGCCAAGACTCACATAACCTCTCGGCTACTGTGGTCCCCCGATGTAAAAAGATAAATAAAAAAATACTGCTTTTTTTAAACAAATATTCTGTAAGCAAAGTTGGTCAGAAAATGGTCAAAATTTGGATTTGTCTTCATTGTCACGATTTTAGCGTTATAAACCTTTAGATACCGACTTTCACGGAAATTGGTGTAAATTAATTTTTTGACTGATAATTTTGACAACTTGCGCAACTGCAATCCTAGTGCAAGGTCTAACATGATTTTACTCAAAACCTAGTTGACCAATTTTCATGGTCAATAATTTGTTTTAAAGAAATTGTAAAGTGCAGTTTATAATGATCAAACGTTAAAATTGGACTATTATTTCCTTCAAAAAGAAAAAAAAGTGGGGTTAATTTCTGACAAATAATTTTTCTATTTTGTGGATTTTTTTATAGAAATATTTTTCATATTTTAATGTTACATACATTGTTAACAAGCTAAGTTCCTCTTCTTTGAAATGGAACAGTCTGGAATTGTCTGGACTTGGAAATGGAATGGTCTATTTGCCACTAAAATCATTTTAATCGTTTTTGAATTATAGCCGGTTCAGTGCGTTCTGATAATGACTTCTTAAAAATAGGAAAAAATTTAGGGGTCAAAAAAATTGATAAATTTAATTTCAAACAAAAATTTATATTTGGAGGTCTCTAGAGGTTTCTAAATTTCATATTAGTTTCACAGAAAAAAAAAAAATTGATGACCTAGTTTACTTGAAAAATATTTGGTTTTTAGAAATTTTTTGGCTATTATTACTATTTAGTTTTTACTATATGTTTATTGCAATCTACATAAAAAGTTCTGTAAAGTGATATATTAATACAGTTGATTTGAGTAAGCTGAACGGGGAAATAAAAATATTAAAAACATAAAATTTCAACCTTCAAAATTTTATTTTGGTGAACCAGGGGCTATTCACTAGAAGTGGCGGATAAGTGTACGATATTTTGGAGCGTAGTATCACCAAAAAAGGTTTGGTACAAATCCGTGATATACCAACCTGGACGTTCCCTTGTTAGATAAAATACATATTTTTAAGGTAAATCTACATTGTTTGTATTTACAAAAAAAAAAAATATATTTTTTTAAATTTTACTTTGAATACTGACTATAAGTTGCTAGGCTTTGCCAGGGCCTCATAAATATGCAGACAGTTTAACCTTTTCTGGACTAGTGACGAGATATCTCATTCTGGATTGCACACTCCCTAGGCACAGTGAAGGGTTCTCTCATCCTGGTTTTTTACCTCTTAGTTGTAGTTGAACACTCACAGCATCATTGTACATTTTATAAAATAATATTAGTATGGTAAACTTAATATGACATGATTGTATAAAATACAATATGTATTTAAAATTAAAAAAAAAAAATCTTATAAAAATGTCGTGGAGGGATCAGGACAGTTGTTTCAGGTCTTTGAGATGAAATAAAAATAACCACAGCAATTAAATACTAATGAACACCTTTTCTCTCTCTATTTTTTGAAAAAATAAAAATGAACAAAAACAGAATAAATTCCCTTTTTTTTCAATTAAAATAAAATAATACAAATAAGTATCTTTTCTATATTTAAAAATGAACAATACTGATTAAGGCCTTTTTATAAAAAATTAAGAAAACAAAAATAAACATTGTGCCAGCAATAATAAAGAAAATCAATTGACAAAAAGTGAACAAATGAAAATAAAATGTTCTCTGGACAAGTGATTACCCTGCAGCTCGTTGAAAGTCCAAGGCAAATAGTTGTCGAACTCGTATGAAGCCGGTTGTGCAGTCCGACGTCCAGAAAGATCTCTTCCCTCCGTAAAAAAGGCTACTGAATCCAGAAAACGTCCACTTGTCGTCCCCGGGGAAAAATAATGAGAGCGCAAAACCACAAAAAAAAGACAAGCCACCTTTCTCGTCGCCACGCGTTCCTCGTCTGCCGGAGCTGCCGTGCATCAAGCGAACTCTCGTTCACTCGCGCTCCAATTTGAATGTGGTTATAATTGTTGCAACCATCAGCAAAAGTTCTGTAACACTTAAAATAGTAAAAAAGTCTTTCTTTATTCCCATGTTCAAAAAATAAATTCATTATTTTAATTAATTATATTTTTTGCATAAGGTCTTGGTTGAGATGAAAAAGCTAGCCGACCCATGACCTTCAGCTCAATAAACCGCCGCTCTTGAACCACTTGAGCAATCATGACTTCACTTGCTAGCTTATGCTTCACAAGCTTTTTCATCTCACCCAAAACCTTAGATAAAAAGTATAATTAATTAAAATAATCAATACGGTCAATTATGACTACTAAATACAAATATGGATTATTCAAATTCATTAATGAAATACTTACCTCCAGCAGCCCTACAAAATTTAGACAGGCATAACCAATTGTTGCCTTTTCGGAACAACTGGACCATTTCGTCCTTACCAATCTTCATCATACAGTTTGGCATAAATGTTTAGCCTTCATATGCATATCCATTTTGTAGTACATATCGGGTTGGTGCAAAATTACTGCAGGTTTTTGAAAATTAGGTTTATTTTCGTCTTTGTCCAGCATTGGAAAACTGCAAGGGGCCGATTCTTCTTCACGATAACGCCAGGCCACATCTCGCAATGCCAACCCTGCAGAAACTTAAGAACTTAAAATATGAAACCTTACCACACCTCCATATTCACCTGACCTCTCGCCTACAGGCTTACACTTTTTTTAAAGACATTTTGATCACTTCTTGAGGGTTAAATTTTTTAGGAATGCACCTGAAAATTATTGTGTCGAAATAAAGATTTTTATGTCAGCTGAATAAAAGCGCTTATTGCAAGTGGCCAAAGATGTATAGATGTGATGAAAAATTTGTATAAATTTTCTTTATTTTATAACAATTAAAAAGTTTTGACTGCTTTTTCAAACCAACTTCCTATCTCAATCCCACCTTTTGAGTTTTCCCTCCTTTTTTTTGCTATTTTTCAAATGTCGTGTAATCGGATTGGATTCTCGACGACAAATGAAATAGCCACGGAGAGCTTTAGTGAAGTATACTTCATTTTAATTCATTAAATTCACTAATTTCGTGATCTGCTTGACCAATTAATTTATTACAATTAATTAAGGTTTTTAGTTGAGATAAAAAATGGCAATGATTGAAAAATGGCAAAAAAAGGAGGGAAAACTCAAAAGGTGGGGTTGAGATAGGAAGTTGGTGTCCGAGTGGATCGAGGTCACGATAGCTCAAGTGGTAGAGCAGCGGCGTATCAAGCCGAAGATCGTGGGTTCGAATCCCGCTCGTGCCATTGACTTAAAATCTCAACTAAAAACCTTAATTTTTTGCTTAGTGTTTTTTTTTTACAGTTAATCCTTTGAATTTTACCTTGTTTTATTTTATAGAATCATTAAGCGACAATCATGTAATTATTCTACTTGTTTTGTCAATTTCCCCAAGTGTGAAAAGTTAAAATATTTTTTTATATTTTTATACAGTTTGTAAAATGATTGTATTTTTATAATCCTAATGATATTTTATTGCTTTGTTTGCAGCCAACAAGATATCGACAATTTTAAGGTCGAAATGGAAAAATTAAAGATAAAAGGGGAAGAGGGCAGTGATAACGAGGCTGAGAAGGCTGCCACCGCAGAGGCGAGTTGAACTGCGCTGTGAGCACAAATCTCAACAGGGGTTCTAATTTCCTCAGTTTGGAGCGTCTTAATGCAAAACACTCCGTTAAACTTTCTGCATTATTTCTTCTATTTAAATGTTCTTTTCAATGATTTGTTTTGCACAATTTTTTCCTCTTTTTGTTTAGTTTCAAGTAACATCATGTTTTGATTTTGTCATTGATCAATGGGAGTTGTAAAGTTAAGACTGTTTTCATATTTTTGTCAAGGTGCCTTCCTTAAGGTGGAAATATAGAAATACCTGTTCATTCATTTTTTTTTTGTTAAAATGACATTAAGATTAAAAAAAAAAAAAAAAAAAATGGTTCTAAACGTATTATCAAAACAGAATGGCCTTAATTCACACAAATCTATAAATATGTGATGATAATTAATTTTTTTTTTGTCAAAAATATTAACAAAAAAGAGGAACTACTGGAAAATTATGTTAATTTTTTTGTAGTCAATTTCTAGTTTTGAAATTGTTTTGTTTTTCTTTTTTTAATCTGTTAGTTTAGTCCAATTGCAGAATTATCTTAGTAAAAAGAAAATTGTATATAATATTATTGACCTCGAGAGATATGTAAATATTTCATGGGATGTAAATGACTCTATGAGTTGTAGGTAAAGTTGCTCTAGTTAAAACAATTTATTTTAAATCAGTCGCTGATGCCATATGTTCAGCGGAGATGGAAATGTTAGTTTTATAAGTTGAATATCATCAATAATTTTTTATGGTGCAGTACTAAAAAATCACGAATTATAAAGATGGCAATGAACGTTTTGTCTCAGCAATATGGGTGTAATTAAATGTAGAAATAGTGTTGAGCCAGCAGTGCTAATTAGAAATTATATTGTACTGAAAAGTTATGTAGTCATTTTAGCTTAATTCAACACTAATAGGTTGCATTTCAGCAAAGAAAATAAAAATTATAATTTTCTATGTTTTAGATTTATAGGATTTACGTGTTGTTTTAATATTTGTTAATTTTTCTTCCAAGAAAGAAAATTGCTGATTTAGTCATAGAGCACAAATTTTTAGTAGTAGGTTAATCAAAAAAAATTTTTTTGTTGATGTTATAGAGACTAGTCTATTTTTCAAGCCAGAATTTTGTTTTTCTCTTTAGTTACCAGTTTGGTTCAATTTGTTTTCCTAATGCATAAAATGTTTAATAATGTTGCAATATTAAAGTGGCAATAATCAATACAATTAATAATTTCGTACTATTTGGTTCTAAATATTAAATAAGACTGTGCAAAACTACAATGTGATTGTCAGATTCAAAGTTGACTTGTGCTCATCGCAAGGTGTAAATAACTGAAATTGTTACTGTGGCAAGTATTTCACTTTCTGCAATGGCAACTTGTTCTTGTCGATCTCATTGCAGATACGTGAAATTACGTGTGTAGATGAAAATACATTGAAATGTTGGCGATTGTCTAAAATAAAATCATAATGAAAAAAGATCTTAATTTTATAATTTTTCCCCGTTCTTTTTTGAAAAAAGTGTTTTAGAAAGAAAGTAAGCCAGATTTTAACGGAATTTATTGATAGTTACCACAAGCTATTTTATATATATAACTGCATGTATTTGGTAATAAACAGAAAAATATACTAAAATAAGAATTATTTTACCATGCAGTCATATATTAATATTTTATTTATTCATATATTCTGATAACCGTATGAAACTGAAAAAATTGTGTGAGCATGGTTTTCACGTTTCATATTCAACTTGGACATTACTCATATGTATGAGAAAGTTGCTTAGCTCTCAAGAAATTTTTGACAAAACTACGAAAGAACATGCAGGGTTACAGCTAATATAAAACTTCATAATAAGGATATCTGCTGATATGGTTACTGCTCATCCTAGGAAAATGAGTTCAGCTGATATGGTTATAAACAATAATGCTAATTATATTAATATAAATTCATTTCTTTCATTTTTGATATTGCTTGAACGCTACATAAATTAATTTGGTAATATGCGCACAATTAGTTTTGGGTTTAATCTTCTACCTTTGTGCTTCTCTCTATCTCTCTACTCTGTATCTTTTACTCAAACTTGTGACCCTTTTTCTTTCTTCTCCAAATTGCACAGCTTCTCTTCATATCCCTCACCGTATATACTTTTTCATGCTTTCTTTCTGTCACTTTCTACTCTCTTTGTCTGTCTCTTCTGCACCTTAACGCATTCTTCCCTCGTCTTCCTTTATTTCTCTCACAATCTCTTTTGCTTATTATCTATATGTATCACTAGATCTAGGGTATTATCTATGCAGTGAGTACTATCTTTACTTCCTCATTTTCTCTGATAGTTTACTTTCTCTCTTTCTCTCTCTCTCTCTCTGTCTGTCTGTCTGTCTGTCTGTCTCTCTGTCTCTGTCTCTCGCTCTCTCTCTCTCTCTCTCTCTGTCTGTCTGTCTGTCTGTCTGTCTCTCTGTCTCTGTCTCTGTCTCTCTCTCTCTCTCTCTCTCTCTCTCTCTCTCTCTCTCTCTCTATCTATCTATCTATCTATCTATCTACCTATCTATCTATCTATCTCTCTCTCTCGATGTAAATTTGCAAGATTTGTCAAATAAAACGATATTGATGATCCATATTTGACTGATTTCCACGAAGAACTGGCCGAAGAAGAAAAAATACAAGCTATTGCTACTTGATTCTAGTGTCAACATAGCGGACTAAAAGACAAATAGTAAATCAACCAATTTATTTGAAAACTAATAAAAAACTAGTCGAATAGTTAAAAAGAAAACGCGTAACAAAGGAACCTTACATTGCTTTTTTGTATGACCATTTCTTCCAGCAAAAGGCTAAACGCTATTGATATTTTACAGGAAAATTTATTGAAGTGAGGAGCGGTCAAGAATGAGGTATAGGAAAACACCTCTTTTACTTTTTTTGCGGACGTTTCGACCTTTATTCGGGTCATCTTCAGGGCAAGGGTTTTATCTACATTTTAGTAAGAAAATGCGTTGATTTGTAGCTGCTGCTAGTTTCTTCCGATTTCTTGCTGTTTTTGAGTGTGGCAGCGGCTCGATGTCCATGTTTGTAGGTGATATGTGATGATCCATATTTGACTAGAATAAAGGTCGAAACAATGTCAAAAAAATAAAAAAAGGTGTTTTTCTGAAATCATTCTTGACCGCTCCTCACGACTCTAACAAATTATGAAACAACCGGTCACAAAGAAACACGCATTTCTTCCCGAGAGGAACAACACAACCAAAATGGGTTTTTACATACATATCACCTACAAACATGGAAATCAAGCCACTTTCACACTCAAAACCAATAGGTCCTATACTCCTCACAACGTCAGGCCTCATGTTTCATCACATTTTTTATTTTTTGACGACATTTCGACCTTTATCGAGTCAAATATGGATCATCACACACACCTACATCATAACATGCTGTAAACAAATTGAAAGAGCTTGGCTACGAAGTTCATAGACAACTACGTCAAAGGAAAATTTTTTGAAAATGATGTTCAAGTCCAAAAAGCGTTTTCAGATTTTGTTTCATTTCAAAGCTCAGAATTCTTCAGTTCCGGCATAAAAAAGTTGGTCACGCGTTGGGAAAAATGAAGGTAAATACATCGAATAAGATGATTTTGTTTTTATTTAGTAATAAAACGGACATTCCATGTGAAACAACCCAATACCTATATAAACTTGCTTATTAATGTGCATTTAGTTTTTGTCCTTTCCCAATCTTGTATCTGTATCTTTTTCCTTTCTCTCTCTTGCAATCTCCCAATCTCTCATGTCCTCTATTTCGTTATATCTCATAGTACCACTAACTATATATTGTAACTCTCACCTATCTGTCTTTTAAATTTAGTAAGTCGATAAAATATAAATCAATATTAAATAACGTATGGATTTACTTGGGTTTAGGTTTATGCGGTTTATTATAAGCAATAATCTTGGAGATAATCATCTGCCTATGGAGACGTAGGCATATATTGTACTCTATACTACAGAAGAAACCGACGCGTAGTGGAAAGACCTTGCTGCGCGTCGGCCCGATTTGTGATGCTTCTTACAAAACAACGACCGACCGCCTTTTTGTATTAATCGAGACTCATTGCCCCGGGGGCTTTTCCATTGTCACCTGTGATGGGAGCTTAAAATCCGGACCATGACACCCTCGGGCTTGGACCGACCTCCTCGTTTGAGAGTTTACGCCGGTCCTCTGTGGGAATAGAAAACGTGCTGATTCAGCTGTTACTTATCAAGAAAATAACATTGAATAAAAGACAGGCTATAAAAAATACCTTGGGCACATTTAAATAGATTCTATGTCAAAGACTATGCCATAATTGCTGCAAAATACGTACTATATTTGTATTTATGTATATGTCTCTAATGTTAAAATGGTAGCTAATTTGACAAATTAGTTAGACTCGGAGTCCTCTGGACATTAGATTATCCAACTTGTACTTACTACTAACAATACTAAATTTAATTAACATTGTTTTATTGTACGCTTTACGAACAGAATGGCCTCATTTTGGGGTATTCATGTTGATTGTGGTTGGTTAAGAATTCAGAAGAATTTTTTTCTATCCCTATTCTATTTATTTAGTACCTGATCCCATAGTGATTTCAGGTATTCATATCCATTATTATTATTTACTTAATCTTTATGGAAGGCATTGGTTGAGATAAAAAAGTCAGTGTCACGAGCGGCTAAATACGCCGCTGACACTCGGACACTAACTTCCCATCTCAACCCAACCTTTCGAATTTTAACTCCTTTTTGCCATTCATTTGTCGCCGACATCAAATAAATTGTACGACATAGAGAAAAGGCAAAAAGGAGGAAAAATTAGAAAGGTTGTGAGATGGGAAGTTAGTGAGTGGATCGAAGTCACGATAGTTCAAGTGGTAGAGCAGTGGCGTATTTGCCGAAGGTCGTGGGTTCGAATCCCGCTCGTGACACTGACTTTTTTATCTCAACCAATGCCTTCCATAAAGATTAATTAATTGAAAGATTTGATTTGGTCAATCGGACCACGAACTCTAATGAATTATTATTTACAATTAATTTAGTACAATTTTACTAACAAAATTAATTAAGGCTTCAATTCAATGTAGTCTTTAATCAAAATGTGATGGTCTGGTGGCCATTGTCCACCTTTACATCCTCCCTTATTAGAGCTATTCGGCGTGGTTCTTGAATGGGGATGTCAAATAACATGTGGTCCCATGTTTGTTGAGGTCTCCTTGGACAGTCGCATTCCGAATCCTGTGTTATGTGGAATTTACAGAGATATTCTCGAGTTCGTCCATGGCCGCTTATAAATTGGGTAAGCATATGGTGGTGTTTCAGTTTAACTTCCATCCTCGATTCTACCGTTGGGAAGAACTTTTTGTTTGAAGACTGTAGTAGTACGCCCAACGTTCTTCCCATTGGGCCAATGTCATTTTCGTCTTGGAGATGACAGCTTTTCGGCACTACTGTGACTGTTGTTTCGAGTTTAGGTTTTCTGTGGCTTCCTTTGCTACTGCTCCTTGGATCCCTGTGTGCGCTGGTACCTTTTCAATACTGATCTTCCATCCATTATCACGCAATGATTTTATCCTTTTTCTGATGTCGGATACCATCAGGCTTCGTGCTTTGTAATTTTTAATCTTATCAATGGATATGTGGCTGACTGTCATCACTATCGCGTTTTTGTTCACTTCCTCAACATCCTGCTGTGCGAGCCATTGAAGAGTTTTCAAGAAAGCAAGAGTTCAGCTTTGTTGTTTGAGCACCAGCTGTATAATTTGTATTATTTCTTGCAGGATGTTGTCTTTTCCATAGATGACTAGGGCTGCTCCAACCTCATTATTATTTTGCTCTCATCGGTGTATAGTACGATCTTGTTTTGCCATGATACAGCCTCTGTTAGTCCTTGAGTTCTATAAGCCAGATGGGGCCATTCATTTAAAGGCAGTATGGATTCCACGATAAGTGCAGGGATGGCTTGGTTATTGGATGATCTTCTTATGGTGAAGTACATATCGGACAAGAAGAATTGTAAAGTTTAAGAACTACAGTAGGAACTATCCCCTGTTGTACTTATAGTGCACCGGAGAGTCCTGATTCATCTTGAAATTTATTTACCTGACCCGGTAACAACGGTACTACGATCTTCGGTCAAGTGTAATACCATAGTTTATCGTCAAACATGTTTGGGGTTTCTCTATTTTTTGCAAAGTCTACACGGTGATGTCAACGCCGGCTATCCTCTGCCATCTCCGTTGTAGTACCTTTTCTGGTCCTGATGCCTACTTTAATTTCTTTCCTTTCATTACTCGCAAGGGTTAATTGAATCTTCGTTTGGTTGTGCCCAGGGACAGCTTCTTTTCACAAACTTCTCTATTTAAAGAGGTTATGTGATTTGAACGAATTACAATCCGGCAGAAGGATACGTGCCAGAATTGACGATATTGTTTTGGGTCAA